CAGGCAGGAAGCTATCCAGCCCGAAGGCTGGCGCTCCCCGCCATTCCACCCTTTTTAATTATTATTTTTGAGACAGATTTGCTAAGTTGCAGAGGCTGGGCTTGCATTTGTGTTCCTTCTGCCTTGGTCTCTCAGAGTGCTGAAACTACATCATATGCCACCACAACTGGCTTACTCAAGGCTTGTATATTGCTGGGTGTGGTGGCAAATGCATGCAATCTCAGCACCCTGGAGGCTGAGGCAGGAGGATTGCAGTGAGTTTGAGGCCAGCCTGAACTACATAGCAAGACTCCGGGCCAAAAAACAAAATAAGGGCTGGGGATATAGCTCAGTGGCATAAGCACCTGCCTGGCAAGTGCCAAGTCCAGAGTTAAATTCCTAGTTCCAAAAAAACCAACCAAACAAAAAAAACAAAGAACAAAAAACAAAAACCAAATAAAATGCCTGTATTGTTACTCAATTTACAAGTGACAAAAACAAAAACGAAAGACGTTTGACACCCCATGGTAATTAACAAGTAGTTCTAGAATTAAGTACGCTGCGGGGCTGGGGATTTAGCTCACTGGCAAAAGCGCCTGCCTGGCAAGCGCAAGGTCGTGAGTTCGGTTCCCGGTACCGGAGAAAAACAAAAAGAAAAAAATAAAAATAGAATTAAGTACGCTGAGTATAGGAATGAAGATATAAAAGGGCTGTAAAAAAAATAAATCTTGAAAAACTGGGTTCATTATCCATTATCTGAAATGCTTAGGACCAGAGGTGTTTTGGATTTTGAAACATTTGCATATATAAAATGAGCTATCTTGGGGTACTGGACTCAAGTTTAAACACAAAATCCATTTGTGTTTCACATTCCCCCATACACACAGCCCTTCACACTGAGCTACGTCCTCAGTCCTTTATTAAGACAGGGTCTTGCCCAGTTGCTAACTGTCTAGGGCTTAAATTTGCAATGGTCCTGCCTTAGCCTCCTAGAGTACTGGGGTTACCTCATGACCCAATGGCAAGTTACCAGCCCCTAGCACACCCCAGCAAAACTGTAAAAAGCTAGTGCTATTTCTTTAAAGAGCCAGTCTGATCATCAGATCTTTGCCTCCTTTAGTTCTTCAAGCTAAAGCTTCTTCCCCATTTTTTCTTGCTTTCCAATTCTAATAAATCTGCTTCCCAGCATCTTTCTCTCATGCATCCTGTAGTTTTTTTTTTTTTTTTAAATGATAAAAGTCAACGAACTTACCCCTTGGGGGGTGGGCAACTTGGGCTCCCCACGTCCTCCTTGGGGGAACTCCTCTTTTGTTCAGTAACGTACCAGTTTTATGATTTTCATCTTAATTGAGCAAAAGAACCCTTAGCTGGTTTATAACGTATCTGCATTCAAAAACATTTTGGATTGAAGAGCACCTTGGATTTTCAGGTTAGGGTTGCTTCACTTGTACAGGGCTTCACTAACAACTGGCTTCCTCCCTCTTCATGATTAAGAGAAGGTGCAGGATACCAGGTATCAGTCTCAACAGGAGAAATCCCAGCACTATGCGGGCAAATAATTATGGGCTGAATCCACTGGGACAGGAGCTTTGGGGAGCCCTGGGCGGCTGTTTCACTATCTTTGCCTCCATCACACCTTGTGTGGCTCAGAATGCTCAAACAGGGCATAAATAACTGAAAAAATCACTAGTTTGACAAATGTAAAACAGTATTTAAAAAGCACACTGAGCCAATGTGGTGGCACATTACTATAACCCCAGCACTCGGGAGGACAAGGCAGGAGGATGACTGAGAGTTCAAGCACAGCCTGCAATACATAGAGACTCTGTTTCAAGAAAACCAAAAGCACGTTATATATTACCACTGCGGGGCTTGAAGAATCTTTTGAGGCGTATGGAACCCATTCCTCTCACATAAAGGAGGAAGCAAAATAGTAGGTGAGAAAAAGCACACGGAACAACAGCAAGCCAAGTAGCTGCGCCCAAGAGGACTGGATGCATTGTCACTTCTCACAGATAGTACAATAAGCAGCAAAGTTGTAAGCAGGGGCTGGGGATTTAGCTCAGCGGCACAGCGCATGCC